TTCTTCTATAATTTATCAGCTCCAGAATAGCTTTCCTTGTGTAGACAGCCTATTCTGGGATACAGTGTGTTTTTATTCAAGGATAATGCCTGCATTTCCAGAGCAAAATAATTATTATGAATAGAGCCATTTTTATAGTGGAATAATGTACATGTGTAGTTTGGTCTTTATGGTCTTCAGTGAAGGCTGGTGGGAAGGGCTGGTGATTTTTCTCCTATACAGACAAGCCATTGATTGCCTCTGTATGAGTCATGGGTAACATCATAGTACTTACTGGCACCACATTACTTGAAATTATTCCTCTTTTACAAAGAGGAGTGTCTGTATGATCTCATGCTATAATTCTGATGATGCTGCAGGAAAGATGAATTTTAACATTTTCACAGTTTTTCCACAGGTGCAGGATTGGATTTTTTGTTTGTTTCCAGAGAAGGAGGATATTGAAAAAGTTGCGATTTTAAACATTTCTTGTTCCTTGCGCCTCCATCTTCAGAGTTACTGAGGGCTTATGGAAGACTTGGATCCTGTTAGGCAGTTAGCTAAAGTAGAGGGAAGATTTAGATGTGAAATTTGGATTTATGCTCCAACAGGTGTTATTTTCCTTTTTAGTTACAAAACGATTAATTTTAAAGACTTCCTCTTACTGCAGCTTAACATAGAGGCATTAGTTTTTAATGCCTATCTGCCATTACCACCACTACCTTCTAGTACGATATTGTTTTGCTTCTTATTAAAAAGTAAGAAATCTAAGAAATGTAGCTTGGATGCAATCTTGAGTTACGTTAACGGCAGGTTTTAATTGCGCAGTGTGACCTACAGCTATGGCTCTGCATATGCCTTAGTCCTGTGCTGCTGTTTGCGGCATCAGCCCAGGGTCAAGTGAGATTAAAACCAAAAGTGATGGATAATTTTATGGTTAAATAAAAAAATTATCAAGACAACAGAAAGGAAGCTTCATTTGAGGTCTGAGGTGGTCAAAGTAAGGACCAGGAAGGGTCATCTCCCTAATGCACGGCATTGCATGGTTGGTTATGTGCACAGTGTCTTCCTCTCTCTCTCTGCTCTTCAGAAACATCAGAAGGGTGTTTCCTTTCCATCTGCACTTTCAGAGTTTGCAGGATGAGCTGGGCTATGAGGCTATTGCCCAACTCTGGAGAGAGGAGTTTTGGCATAAAATGGGAGCGCTGAGATTTGACAAGTTGACCTGTTGGTCTTGGTATTTGGCTAGTCCAAATAAGTGTTTTAAAAGGGGCAAAGCACCTGCTGAAAAACTGTTACAAGGTAAAAGTTATTTTGGAAATTCAAGCTAAATATCTCAAGTCATGTCCAATAACGTGCTATTTCCGTACGTCTCCCCTCAATGCCCCCAATGCCACAGTAGTCTGAGAAACAGACTGTGTTGAACCTTTGAGATAGCACTGGACTCCTGGGATGCTTGTTTGGCCTCTTCATTTACTTTTCTTCAACTCTTCCTCTCTTTCGTTACATAATTAGGACTAACCCATGTTCTGATCTAATGTTCTGCCCTCTTTTGATCTTGCTGGAGTGCTTTTTAAAGGAGCAGGTGATTTATTAGTCGCTTTGTTGCACACCAGAAAGCTGGAAATGTGTCGTGTTTCTGATTTTTTACTGTAAGGAGATTGATGCTGTGGTGCTGACGTGCCGAATTAAAAAGGCGGGGTGTTGGCCTGCCATCATATGAAGTATTTCTTTTTAGGTGTTCCTACAGCATCATAAAATGCTGCTAAATTCAGATATCATATTTTGTTGCAGGCTGGTTCTAGGACAAAGCCCAGCCCTGTCTACTGGTGTTTATGGCTTCCCATATAAGCTTTCAGACAAAATTTGTGTCTCATTTTGTTTGAGTTACAGCAGGCTGATATCCTAGTCTTCTTACCAGTTCTGAGATGAGGCACTGAATGTTGCCTCTCTGATGAGACGGAGGAAAGGGAAAAACGTAACTCTTCAACTTCCTGTAAATCGCTACTTGAGAGAGAAAAAATATCTGGATAAAGGATGGGGGGGATGAGGGGTGGGGGGTGGGGAAAATTCTATAATGTAAACACAAATGTATTTAAGCCTTGCCTCATTTTTGGTTACTCTTTAGACTCAGGAACGATGTCAGCGTTTAAATCTCCTGTGCAATCTGGTATGTCTTGGGAGAAGGCAAATTTTAGCTCTTCTCCCAGAAATCAGAGGGTACTCTTGCTGCTGTGTGTCCTTTGCTTATCTGTATGGCTGCACAATTTTTATGATAAATACAAATTCTCAAAAGTACTGCTTTCAAATGTAGTTTGATTTCTCTACAATTAATCCAGGAAGGTGCTTGTCTGCCTTTGACTTCTCAACGAAGAAACAACTCCCTTCCTCCCCTCGCTGCCTCGGCTTTCACAGGAGCAGAGTTCACTTTCAGTGACTGAGTCGGGCAATTGCACAATGGCATAGCAAGCCATGCCGTGTCAAGGTGCTCTATAAATAGCGGAGCCATAATGGAGCTGCTAAAGCATCCCTTGGTAACTTTGGTTCTAGAATTGGCATTGATCTTCTCCTTTCTCCCTTCTGCTCCTGCTACGAGCAGGACGAGGTTTGACCCGCAGTGTGTTTCCCAAGCACTTTGTTATTCGGTGGTGGGATAAAAGCGTTGGGGCTCCCACAGAGCAGCACAGCAAGCAGTAGTGGTGCATTGCCTGACCCCTGCTAAATGGTGGTCACCAGCCTCTGCTCTTTGCCTCCATCCCTGTTGTAGGTCGCTGTGCGTTCCTTGCCTTGTGCAGCCTCCTGCACCCAGTGCTAATGGGCAGTGGGGTCCATCTCTGTTACACAGTACCTGCTGCTTTCTGGGGTGTCTGTCTCACCTGTGCCTCCTGCCTCTTACACTGCTCGTAGCTTGGTTAGCTTCTTGTCTGGAGAGACCACCTCTGCCTTCGTCCAGAATTGCTTATTGCCCCTCATACCCTATGACTTCCCATAGAGAATTGGGGTCTTCAGTTTCTGCATGCTGTGAGTGCGCCCACTCCCATGGTTCACATCTGAAAAAGAGATGTGAAAGTGAAGGGCTAAAGTCAGTTTTCTCCATTAGAAAATTTGTTGTCCCCTGTGTGAGCTATGATACCATAGCAAGCTGGCCCACGTCAGTGCTTACACAGGGGAGGAAAAAAAGTTTCTCATCATCTGGGTTTCTGCATTTCAGCATGCAGCCGGGGGAAGGTGTTGGCTGCATTGGTGTGTTATGAGAAATGGGCTGAAATGTTTACACAGGGACATAAGAAACAAGAGGACACCCAAGTGGGGCGATTGCATGGCAGCTGCTCTGCAAGTGCAGTTGCTTGTGGAGCTGAGAGGAAACCCTGATCTCATCCCCATGTGGAGCTGTGGGAGAGGAGACTGTTGATACTTGTTTCCT